AGCTGTTGAAAGCAGTATAATGAAAGTCACAAGGATTAAAAAAAAAGAGCAAATAAAAAAAATAAAAAATATTTACCAGATAAAGAGCCTGAATGTCACACTTCTTAATGCAAAAAGCATCATGACATTGCTCGTTTAATCTGGGCTCTGCTAATCGGTCTATTGCACAAGGAAAAATCTTTGGGAGTCCTTGTGGGAATGTCTCACATCATTCCCTATCAGCTGTTGACATACAAATACTCTGGTAATGAAAATATTTTCATTCCTTCATAACAGCATTCCCTGTCCTGTTGAATCTTATTTTCTCTCTTTCTGAAAACAAGCTTCTGTGTGGGGTTTCTGAACTAACGGACCTGATGCCATATATCAAAAATGCCCTGTGCTCCTGTCACACTTGCCAGGAATCCACACAAAAGAGACTGAATGGGGAAGAAGCCCAAGGATTTACAGCAACAACATGGGATTTACAGCAACATTTGAAATTCATTGCTGGTCTGAGTCGTTTTGAAGGTCTGTAAGTGCAGCTAGACTAGAGCGTGGCAGCACCTGTGCTGCCTCCACTGCTAGTAATAATGAAGCTGACTCAGGATCCAGATACATGCTGCAAAGGGACAGGTCTGCAATCTCCCAGAAACACTGCAGAGTACAGTATTTTAGCCAACTCTATCACCTTACCAAAAATAAATATTTGGGAACAAACAGCTGGAAATCCTGGGTGTCCTTCTGGACTCCTATCAGACTTTCTCAAGTATGGGCTCAGGCCCACTAACCGTGTGGACACCAGTGATGAGCCGCTGGAGGGGAATAAAATGAGGTTGCCAAGACTTCCAGCAAATCCTTCCATGCACACTGCTCTGCCTCTGCGAGGCACTGGCTGTTCACACAGACTGCAGAGGCTGTGCTATCCTCTCTCCTCTAACAGCACATCCTACTTGGGACAGTTTTTATTTTCAATGTACTACACTTTTAAGCATTTACAACCCCCCATTGTACACAAGCTGTCATCTCTGAAGATAGCATCACGTTCTGCTGTGCATAAAAGCCATGCAGCAGTCACTGCTGTCGCACCAAAACAATGTATTTTGGAAATTATTTCAAAAGTTGATACTTCCATATTGCACTAGATCCTGTGCAGGTAAATACCTCTCTTCCCCTGAGTAAACCACATCTAAATACTGCTCTTAAATTATTTGACTTTCTTTTAAAATCCCTTCAATACCTCAGCTCTTCCAAATTCAAGGTCTGCAATACGATGCAGCCTCCTCCAGCCCACTCTCCCCCAGGGACCTCTGCCTCCATCCACATCCTGTTGCCCAGGTTGTAACATTCCTTTCTGCACCCTATCACTGTCACGCTCCCCTCCTGGAAACAGGTGCAAGAAGATTAAAAACCCACTCATTCAGCTGGGATTTTCATCTGTTTGCACCTTGCTCTTTGCCACTCCTATGTGTCAACATCTCTTGAGCAGAAGTTGGTGGGAAGGCGCGCTCGTGTTCACGTTGCTTGCTGTTTATAGCATGAAACAGGAGTTATATTCTGAGGCAGCAGAAGGGAGAAGAATGTTTAAAATAGAAGTTTTTCTTACTTTTCTTTCTTTTGGACTTTTGTTCTTTTTTTGGACTTATTTTTTTGAAACTAAAATTTCATTTGAAATGTTAGCATTAGCAGATTCTTAAATTTAAGGGTTACTTTAATTGCTTTTGATAAATATGATGGAGTTATGCTTTTTGATTTCTACAGTTCATTTCTGCAAACATCGATATTGCCATCAACCCAACCCAATTGAAATGTGTTACCATTTTTGCTGTTAGCCCATAAGTTGCTTTATGTCAAACTGTCACTGGAAAACAAACAAGTGTATTACTTTCCTCATTCAATATCATATGCCTGGAAAAAGAGAAATTTAAAATTCTATTTGAAGGAAATGATTTCAACATTTAGGCTTTCAGAAGTAATCCAAGAAATTTGGAGAGTGTAAAATATCGTTCCTAACAGGTATCTATTTATAAGTAGTTTTGGCTTTGATAAGTAGGAGAGAATGAGAAAGCATAATAAATGGTTTTCCAATTATATATTGATGTATTAAAAATACCACTGCTTTCATGAACAATCCTGTGGTGTTTTCCAGTGAGAGCTAGAATGTCTCCAAAACCCCTCAAAGTTTCTTAAAAGTAGTTGAGGAACCATTAGGTTGAGGGCAATCTGCTGTACTGCAGCATTTGCAGTTCTTGGCATGCACCACAGCAGGACAATATAAGCATTTGCAGATATTTGCTGTCATTCCTGCCTCAGGTACTGCTGAACATCATGACCAGCCACAAAATGCTGAGCATGTACTTTCTGCCTATGCTCTTCTCTAGCCCTCTCAAAATTTCTGCTTTGACGTTTCAGAAGCTATGAAATCAAAGCCTAAGGAAATATTCTGCTTCGCCATTTGCCCTCTTTTCGTCCCTGTGCTTCAGAACTTTGCTCTAAATCCCTTCTGCAATAGTGGGAGCTGTGCAAGGTGACTGAGCAGGCCACCCAGCTTCCTGCTGTCTCCTTGCTGGGTGGCAGTAATGCTGTTGCTTTGGAAAGGGAGCAACTCACAGAGCTGTGACTTAGCTCCCTCTCAATTTTGGCTCATTCCTGCCTAAACTTTCTCTCTTCTTCACTTTTTGTCTTGTATCTCCTAACCCTGTTCCTGCTTTAAGCTTCTCCACACTGAGAAGCTACTCGGCAGCCACAGCCAGTCACTGGGTTTTTCCCAGAGGCACACACAGCCAGCTCTAAAGAAATTTTCCATCTGCAGCCTCATGTTGCTTCTCTTCACCTCCCCCAGCTTTAATGTGATCTAGTGAGCAAATTACATCCCTCACCCAACTCCTGAGAGCCAGCACGGGTACACGTGTCTCTCATACAAAGTCAGAAAGAAGTTAGGGAAGATTTCTCTCCTTAGCTCCACTCAGATGCAGGGCTCTTTAATATTTCATCTGTAATTTAACTTGGTATTACACAAGAGCTACACGTATATTTAGAGGCACATCTTTTGAGCAATTGGGTAGTTCTATAGGATATGTGATTGTACTAATTGTAATAAGAGGCATGTATCACTCCAGCTTCCACAGTCTGAAAGTCTGCTGCTGGAAAGTCACGTTTTCCCTTTAAAGGGAAGAGGGAAAAAAAAATCTTTGTCCTTCAGAATCCTTAGATGTTTTTACTGATCTTTTGTTGACCATCTTGTGAACTCAGAAGTCTGATGTCAGCTACTCTATAGAAAGGATACAGGCTGTTCTACCATAACTGGAATTATTTTTAAACACTTCCCCCTCACAGGCTAAATCCTTGGAGGCTAAGGGGGAAGACAGACCAAGTGGGTTTATATCAAGAACAGAACAGCCTACAAGAACATAGTTCAGGAAAAAATAAGGAAAGTATGGCGAAAAAACACATGCTATACAAATTCATAGTGAAGGTATTTTGACAGGAGAGACAACTGACAACCTATTTCTGGATATAAAAGCTCAGGTCAGATATTTCAATTAATATGCATGACTGCATACTTTCACCCCAGCCCAATTATGTGCAGGTTGATACATCTAATGATTGCTGTTAGTAGTTATGTATTAGCTAAAATAGTCACAGCTATTTGAAAGAGCCACTCAGACCTTTGCTACCTGAAACTTCTCTTCTTTATACTTATATGTAAGTTTTCCTTCAATTTAAAATTCCAGGCAGAGCTTCTAAGGAAGAAAGTAAAATAAAACCAAATGAAAGATCTTTCCCCACATAAGATTGGGAAGAAAATTTACCACAGTGAGTTCAGACAAATCACAAAGGACTTTTGAAAAGAATATTCATGGTAGGATATAACAGCAAGCTAACAGAAACAAGCTCAGTAAGGTTTTACTTGAATGGATATATGTTAATTTGTGAACTTCTTTTCCCTTCAGTTTGCAGACTTCAGTTTAAAATTGACTTCAGCCTCTCAGGTTGAGATGAGAGGTGACCATAAGCCTACAGGTGTTATGCAAAGAAGATGAAATGATGTAGAAATTATGATCGGTGATAAAAATGTCAGAAACAAAAGAACAATGCTCTCCTTTAGCTCACTTTCATAAGCAAAACAGAATAACAAACAATACTGTCCAGCATTTGTAACCAGCTGTATTTTCAATGTCAGGTTGCTGATATTTGCTTTTAAAAAGCTACTCTCTCATTTGTTTCTCCTGCATTTCTCATGAAGACAGGCAGAACATTGAAACTGGAAGTGGCTTTTAGTGTAAAGACCAGCTAGCATTCCTGCTCTGTCACACACATCTGTACCCTATACCCTCTTTTCAGACTGAATTCTCCCACAGCCAGCTTAGCAACACTGCAAGGACTGCCTAGTAGTTCCAAGTCTTACTAAAGGAGACCAGTCTGATCTTTACTAAACTCAATTTTTCTTTGTTTTAGCAACTTTTAGTACGTTTGAGAAAGTGTCAGCTCCTACAAACACAGAAGAACACATTGCAAACCCTCATCTATTTCACTTAAAACTAGAGGGTTTTTGTTCTTGGAGCTGCAGATAAAAACTAAAAGTAAAAATAAATTATAGTAGAATACATTGCATTGAAAGAAACTTCAGGTGAATACCATGATTCTGGGGACTTCAACTCATGGCTAATTCTGAAGAATAGATACATAGGTGTGTAAAACCATGACAATGAATTTACAGCTGATTCTAGATTTACAGCTAGACAACTGAGAGCAGGGAGAGAACATAGCACAACTATATAAACTACATCCCTGGTACAGTAAGCTTCTCTTTCAGGTTTTGAGCAAAAATTTGCAATCCTTCAACACTGTCAAGTGATAGTTACAAAATGCAGCCAAACCTAAAGTTTTCTGTGCTGTCCACTACAACACAGAAGAGGTAACTCCCAGGAGGGACAAAGCTATCAATTCAGTATTTTAATCTCTTCACCTGAAATTTGCTGAAGACCTCGATAAAACTGAACTCATCACTGTACCTGAGAGGATCCCTGGAAGCAGGCAGTCTACCAAATTTCACATCTTGCAGAATGTTGTCATAGCCGTTCTCAGGGTCCTTCCAAAATGTTGTGTTTTCTGAGATGTTTCACAGTGGGACTGAGGCTGCCTGTTCAAGAAATAAATACACACTCCTTTCAGAGAACAAGTGCCATGATTTCAGTATATAATTTGTCTTCAGACATTGAATAATACCTAATATTCTTGGAAGCACAGCAAAGCTTAGATTTTTTTACATTAATAGCACAGATTTAGTCAGTGCTGCTTTTAATATAGAAGCTAGCTAGAAAGTATTCTTTCCTGAATCTGACATATTACAGAATGGTTGTTGTTTTCTTTCAATATGGCACTCTTGAAGTGCATCTCTTCAGTAGTATTGCTGAAGTATGAAATATCCAAACTTTGGGCTTCCTTACAGAACTTGTAAGACTATCATTCATACACTCAAAGGATTACAATAATATTTTTAGATAACTTTGAACAAGTACATTCATTCTTTAGCAAATGCATAAGTGTATTTCAAATTTACTGGATGGAGAATAAGACAAGAAAACATATCAGAAATGTAAGTAGGGTTTAGGTAACTGCCTTGTGCATTTGAGCCATCTGACAGTGGTGGATTTTTAGAGCAGAATCTCAGCTGTCTGCATTTGCTGCCCACAACCGCAGTGACTGGACGCACAAACTTCACTGCAGTGCAGAAATGAAGTGCAGGACTGGCAAGAGAAGACTGCAGCGGGCAAGAGGAGGTTATAGAGATTTTCACTGCCTTTAGCTCAGCTCATGCCTGCACTGTTCAGTCACTGGTACTCATGCAAACTGAACTTTGCTTTTGTCTTCATGTCTTTCATATTAAAAGTAATAAGGCTCTTATACTTGAGAATCATGGGAGTAAAGTGTGAAGTAAGACAAGGCAAAAATATAGTCAACCCCAGTTACACAAAAATACAAAATACGCTTCACTTAGACTGATTCATCACTAAACACCTGTAAGGATCCAGCAAGGGACACAAGGCTGCAGTCCAGCCTGCCTGCACAGACCTAATAACACAGTTGAGGCCTTGAAAGCACATCCTTTTTATTAACATCTACTTAAACTTCAACTTATTTTTTTAAAGCACATTCACAGTGTTTGGGGGTTCCTACTGGGGCAAAGGCCAAATCCATGGGGATATCATCAGCTTGGGCAGGCCCTGGTTGTTGAGGACCACAGATAAGAGCACTCGCGGCGGCAGTCTGGTCTGCTCAATTGTCTGAACTGTCTTCTCTCTTAGCTTAGCAATTATTTAGCGAGTAACGAGGACAGGAAACTTCTCCCTACCCCCAGTTTATAAATGATTTCCTGTCAGTCCTTAGAAAAAGCAACTCAAAGCCTAAAGAAAAAGCTGTGAATGAGTGGCACACATCTGAGCAGGGAGCAACAGGAAGGAAGGACAAGCAGAGAGCTAATTGGCCTTTTTACACTTTGCCAGGGTAGCTAGAATGCTGTAGGAAAGTTTTCCTCCCTGGCGATACCCTGTCAGTCCCTTCCTCTTTCAGTCTGCCTGGTCTATAAGCACAACTGTGTCAGATTTGACTCCTGCCTGACACCGACGGGTGACAGAATGACATTCTTCATGTACCAGCTCTAGGAAGCTACATTTAAATCTGGTGCTCCACCATTTCCTAAGCATGACAGAAATTAGCAATTTTTCTAGTGGCCTCATTTACATAATTAAAACTGTCTCACAATCAGTACTACTAAGATCACCTTATAAGTCAATTTCATTTATTCAGTTTCACAGTCAATCAACTGTCAGTTTCACTGACGATTTCAAGCCATAATTAATCAAACAACACTTCTCAATGGAATTGCTAAAGCTTTATCAAAAGTAATTGCCTTTATTTTTTTCTGAAAAAAGCAGATTTCAGACAACAGCAGGTTAGACAGTTACAGTTTGACATCTAGACAAACAAACTGTTAGAAAATCTTACAGTAGCACTGGTCCCAATACATCATCACGCTACATCCATACGGACATAATGCGTAGGCACTTCTTCCAGAAACAGATCCTTTGTGGTCCAGTACTCTAGATACTGAGTGTAGAATGTGTTCTGTTATATTTCCTCTTGGACAATTTGGCTAAAGGAATAGCTTTCACACATTTGTAATTACCTACCAAAACAGAACATCACATTGATTTTTACCCTTCACGTATCACTTTCCAGTTATTTTAAACTATCTCGTTAGCTACTGCAACAATTGGCCATTCTGAATGAACCAGTTTTGTAATGTGTACAAACTGCAAGGAGGATGAGAAGGAAAAAGCACACTATGGAAAATTCAGATTTCTCTATCGATCATCAGAAATTTCAAGTGCATTGTTACAACGGCTCTATTCATCCAATAGTTAAAGATGTGACATTCTGCACAGAAGACAGACTTTTTTTGTCTCCTAAAATATGTTTCTAGTTTAAGTTTGAAAAAAGATTTCCATTGTGCCATATATGTGGTAACTCAAAACCAAAATGAAAGGATTAAAATCAGGGCTGCATAGAATGGTTTAAATTAAATTCAGGTAGTGGGGAAGACTGTCGTATCTGGCAGGCTCCCACTTACTGAGCTTTCTGGCCAAGAGGCAAGATGAAGCATAACAATCCTTACCTGCCAAGTCTAAAGTGATTTTGAGGCTTTTATTCATCTCTTAAAATAAAACGTTAATGCTCTTGGAAGCTTGCCTACCAACACAGTAGGTCTCACCTGTCTTTTCTTTATCCTCACACAAATGTTCTATAGCATGCTTCAGAGTAATGACTGAAAATATTTTAATATACATTTTTTTCAAAATACATGTTATTTAAACTTATTATCCATTACACTTCTATGGAAGACATGACTAAATCATATTGGTATTTTGAAAATCTCAGTTAATAGGTTACAAATTATTGCTAGCAACATGCTGTATAAAGAGCTGAAATTTGGACTGTGGAATGCCCTTCTTTTCTGTCACCCTTCCCACACCTATAAACACTCTGTTGCCTCCACAAAGTTTTCCTAATTAAGTCTGTATCCCTCTTGAGTGGTTCTGTTTAGGATACTGCAAACAGACTTACTTATGATTCATATTAATACTACAGCCAACATAAAATCAGCTTCCCTAACCACGCAGTTCTGTCCCTGAATGGGTTGCTCTTGGCTAAGGAGCAAAAGGATGACCAGAGCTCTGATTTATGCATACCAAGCTCAGTCTTTCAGAAAACGCAGTAGTGTTGAAGAATTAAAGATTTAATGAGCTTATTAAATTCCTCAAAACAGTAATATTAGATTACTTTCCAACAACCATTTGAGAAGAAATAAAATATTTAAATAATACAGAGATTTGTTCCAGTCTTTTAAGAAGTTGAAAGACTTTCAGTTGGTACCAGTAAAAAAACAGCCAGTAACAGCTTGGCCTAATAAGGTCACAGTTAATCTGTACAGACCATCTACCTTTAGGGAGGTATTTATTCCACACCAAGAGTTCCCAAACTTTTTCTGCCCCTTGTACAACCATCAGTAACAGCAAATATGCTCACTGACAGCATCAGTTCCCATTTAGAAAGGGTTTGCACTCCTCCTTGTAATGCTCTCATCACTTTATCTAAGATGTTGCATTCTGCAGCAATCTAGAAATCATTTTTTGTAGAACCTCAACCAATTGCTGCAACAAAACAAGTCACCAAGTCACAAGCATAGCTGTTACGAGAAATTGCTGCCAGTTCTTCTCTTTTAACACTATTTTCCATCTCTCTTGAAGACAGGGTTTGTTGTTGTTGTTGTTTTTTAATATACTGACTGAGAAATTGTGACAGCTTTGTTAAAAAGAAAAGTTTCAGATCATTCTGGTTGGGATTAGGAACATTTTAATAGGTCAAAGAAGATTTAGTTTTGCTTTCATTGTTATAGATCAAGATCATGGCTGAAGAAATCCTGTGAGTTCTGAGCACTTTGGGGTGAACTGGCATTAAGTCTTGGGACTATGAGTGCTATGTATTCTGCAAGACAGTAGTTTAGGAAAGAAATGGCTAGCTTTGTTCATAGCTAGTCAGGAAAAAATGGAAGGAGTGACTAAGCAAGTTGGTGATAAAAGCTGCTTTGGTTAAGAATGTTTTCTTTCTTGGACCTCATTTCATGAAATGGGATAATTCTTAGAGACTAACTCTCAGCACTTGGCCATGGTAGGGAAAGAAAGTAAGGATGCCTGATGGCAAGGAGGTGATGCAGGCTCGCCATTCTCCAAACTGCTCTCAGATGGATGCAGATTCCAAAGTACTCAAAGTTTCACACTGACAGATCTGCCAGGAGGAATCTGCCTGGCATACAGACTGCAGAACTGAGGATTGGGTATGGATCATGGCTAGGGAAAGAAAACTGCGCTGTCAAACAGAGAGTAAGCTTTCGTTTTTATTATTATTTCATAAAACTTATATCCCAAGTGACTTATTTCATGATGATTTCAACTGCCACACCAGTGACCTTTGTGTTCAGAATGTGTTTCCAGTACTGGCGCATGCAGAAAGCTTTCTTCTTAAATTACAGAGAGTTCAAATAAGTATAATCCTAAATGGGATCTCAGCTTCAGAACAGAATCAGAGTCACTTGTGCCATTATCAGATCATCTTCTCAGACAACCCGAGGTCAGGCCAACCTAGGCAATTATTTATAGTCATTTGTGTGGAACTCACGGCATTTGAAAGCCTCGTGAAAGCTCATCAGGCTGCACAGAACTCCAGAGGTCATTTCTGTTCCCTGTCACTGTACCAGCTCCTCACAGTGGGGAGATTAGAAACACTCCTTTTAGTTAGCGATATTTGGCTTAGTAAGGAAAACGGATATACCTCAGCCCACACTGAAGGAGAGATTCAGACTAATGCATGTGGCAAGGTTGCTCTGTAACTTTAGACATTACAGTGAGAACAACCTTTCTATACGACCACAGGAAAATCTGTGAAATTACTCTGCATAAACACAGGTTGTGATTGAAAACATGGTGACCTAGGTGGGAAATGTACAGAAAAAAATGAGGTTTATTGAGTTTGTACCCAGTTGTTCTTTTGAAGGTCTTAAAAATGACGACTTTAAATGTCACG